GTAATTTTGCTTTTACCAACAGGTACTGTAACAACTTAGTTAATCCTGCACATACATTTTTTTAATCTTACCATATACACAAATAAGTCAACTGTTGTAGCTAGAAAGGAGGTACAGATAAGATGATGGAAACGAAGAACTAATTATTCAACAAAGACTGGTTCAACAAAGTACATTTAAGAGCCATGTACTATACTCTACCATTGATGCCACACTAAGAATACAACAGTAAACAAGAAAAGGAATCTCTCTTCTCCTTAGTGGATAAAACACAAACTCTGTACAAGTAAATTTAAGTGAGTACAGTAGTCCCCCCCTTATCTGTGGGGGTATGTTCCAAGACCTCTAGTGGATTCCAGAAACCACAAATAGTACCAACCCTACATATACTGTTTTTCCTTATACATACACACCTATGATAAAGTTTAATTTATAACTTAGGCAACTTCTCAGGTAGAAGATTCATTCTTATTATAGACTAGAGGCCCAGTGCAAGACATTTGTGCATGGGTGAGGTCCCTATGCCTGGCTGGTGATCAGGGCCTACTGGAGCTGTCTTTCCCAGTCCCAATCAGGGCTGGGCCTGCCAGGGCCTGCTGGCTGCTGGACAGGGCCTGGAGACCTGCCAGCTGCGGGGAGGGATAAGGGGAGGTTGATTGTGGGAGCGCACTGACCACTGGCGGGGGAGACAGCTCCTGCATTGAGGGTCTGTCCCTTGGTGGTTAGTGCACATCATAGCGACTGGTCAACCGGTCATATGGGTCACTTAGGCTTGTATATGTCTTAGCAACCTCAACATACAATTTTTTTTCCTTTCCTTAGGTTGAGCGCTTTCACCTTTTCACTTAAAGGAAACACTTTTGGCTTCTCTTTGGCATATCCACATTACCAGCCTTACCACTCTTGTGTTTGGGGGCCATTATTAAGTAAAACAAGGGTAACTGGAATACAAGCACTGCAATAGTCAATCTGATAACCAACATGTTCTCGCTGTGGCACACATACACAGCGAGAACATGCTGGACAAGGGAGGATTCTGATGGAGCAGTACAACAACAGTGCAAGATTTCATCATGCTACTCAGAACTGCTGGCAATTTAAAATGCATGAATTGTTTATTTCTGAAATTTTTCATTTCATATTTTCAGAGCCTAGCTGAGCATGGGAAACTGTGAAACCACAGATAATTAGGGATTACTATATTACAAAAAGAAAAATAAAGAAAACCAAAAGAAGGTACATTGATTCTGTCCAGAAGGATTAAAGAAAACTAAGGAGCCGAAACTGGTTTGGCTCAATGGTAGAGCGTCGGTCTGCTGATTGAAAGGTCCCAGGTTCGATTCCAGTCAAGGGCATGTACATTGGTTGCAGGCACATCCCCTATAGGGGGTGTGCAAGAGGCAGTTGGTCAATGTTTCTCTCTCATCGACGTTTCTAGCACTCTATCTCTCTCCCTTCCTCTCTGTAAAAAATCAATAAAATATATTTCAAAAAGAAAAAGAAAACTAAGGAGTTGTTGATATTTTAATTGGGTATTAAAGACTGACAAGTATTTTAATAAGCAGAGGGGGAAGAAGAAGCTACTGGGTCAAGCAAATACATCAGTGAGAAAGTAGTTACAATGGAGTGGAAGGGAAGAATCAAAACGAGATGGGATCAAAAGACAATATAAAGTAGAACCAACAAATACACTACCATCAAAAAACAGAAGGGCCCAGCTGGTATGGCTCAATGGTTAAAGGTTGATCCAAGAACCAGGAGGTTATGGTTCAATTCCCAGTCAGGGCACATGCCCAGGGTGGGCTCAATCCCTTCCTCTCTAAAATCGATAGATAGATAGATAGATATGGGCTCAATCCCTTCCTCTCTAAGATAGATAGATAGATAGATAGATAGATAGATAGATAGATAGATAGATAGATAGATAGATAGGGTCGGCAACTAAGTAATTGCGGGTTTCACACATCTATGGCTTTAGTTGAATTTTTAGGTTTGCAGACGTAGTACAAATGTAAAACACATTTTGTTATTTGATAGTTGGCTATTCAGCTGTTAATCAGTAAAAAAAAGTTTTTTGATCTGTTTTGTAGTTTTTGTTTGGCGTTCGTTGAAAAATGGAAAATCAAAAGGAACATTTTCGTCATATTTTGCTTTTTTATTTCCACAAAGGGAAAAACGCATCGCAAGCTCATAAAAAGTTATGTGCTGTTTATGGTGATGAAGCCTTAAAAGAACGGCAGTGTCAAAATTGGTTTGCCAAATTTCGTTCTGGTGATTTTTCACTCAAAGATGAAAAACGCTCTGGTCGTCCAGTTGAAGTTGATGACGCCCTAATCAAAGCAATAATCAATTCGGACTGTCACAGTACAACACGTGAGATTGCAGAGAAGCTTCATGTATCACATACATGCATTGAAAATCACTTAAAACAACTTGGCTATGTTCAAAAACTCGATACATGGGTTCCTCACGAACTGAAAGAATCACAGTTAACGCAACGCATTAGCAGCTGCGATTTGCTAAAGAAACGTAATGAAAATGATCCATTTTTAAAACGACTGATAACTGGCGATGAAAAATGGGTTGTTTACAACAATATCAAGCGGAAAAGATCGTGGAGCAGGCCAGGTGAACCAACTCAAACAACATCAAAAGCTGATATTCATCAAAAGAAGGTTTTGTTATCAGTTTGGTGGGATTACAAAGGAATTGTCTACTTTGAACTCTTACCACCCAACCGAACGATCAATTCTGATGTCTACATTGAACAACTAACGAAATTAAACAATGCAGTTGAAGAAAAGCGGCCCGAATTGACAAATCGAAAAGGTGTTGTATTCCATCAGGACAATGCAAAACCACACACATCTTTGGTCACTCGGCAAAAATTAATGGAGCTTGGTTGGGATGTTTTGCCACATCCACCATATAGTCCTGACCTTGCACCATCTGATTACTTTTTGTTTCGATCTTTACAAAACTCCTTGAATGGTAAAAATTTCAATAATGATGATGATGTCAAATCGTACCTGATTCAGTTTTTTGCTAATAAAAACCAGAAGTTTTTTGAACGTGGGATTATGATGCTGCCTGAAAGATGGCAAAAGGTCATTGATCAAAATGGGCAATACATTACAGAATAAAGTTATTTAGTTCCATGAAAAAATTATTTGATTTTCTTTAAAAAAATCCGCAATTACTTAGTTGCCGACCCAATAGATATAGAAATCCTAAATTAGCGACATGTATTATGAAATACTCTTTTACGTAAAAGAGTATTTCATAATACATGTCGCTAATTTAGGATTTAACCTTGAGACTAAAACAATATAACCAAAATCTCCATATTATCCCTTCAAACTTTCAAAGTAAAACCAATGCTATTTAAATATCTGATCAATTAAGTGAATCACGTCTCACAGGTGGTGATTATGGAAACTCAGAAAAGGCTTAACCATAAGGAATATAATACTCCCTGATCATAGCTTCCCTGTTCACTGAAAATCACTCCACTCAGTAGCAATAGAGGATCAAACACAGTCTTATCATGCCAAAGATTTCTCCAAACTGTTACAGTACTTTTGCAAAGCCTGACTTTCTCTTGATGAGCTAAGCCAGTGTGGCTATGGTCCAAACACATAGACTTATAGTCATAAATGTATGTAAATTTTAGTTACCAGCCATGTAAATTATCAAAGTCACTGTACCTTTTACTTTTTTATATTAAAAGCTGCAAACAATATGAGATCCTCCACCATGTGTAATTATCTTATTTGGAGTCAAATTAAATATCATTAAATCCTAGACTTCTCTGTGCTGCCCGGTGAGTCTGTAGGCCTTCTCAAACCACCACCATTTAGTGTGACCTGTCAGAATACAAACTAATGAACACAAGAAGTATGAGTATATTCTGCAGTAAATCTCTATATTCTGACAATGAAATGTGTTCATGAGATATCATTAAATGGAAAAACTATTACAGAATTGTGACTTCACTTTTTATAAAAAAAAGTACTACACAGCTGTATACAGGTATGCGTAGAAAATGGGAGGACGCATATCAAAAGATTAATAGTAGCTATAAATGGAAAGATGAATGAAGAGTTAAAGAGCATGAGGACAGTGGAAGGTACATTATATCAAAACACACACACACACACACACACACACACACACACAAAAAATGGTTAATTCTTGTGTCTAGATTTTGTATGAAAAAGAAAATTTTTTTTAAAAGTAAGACAAGTTACTTATTAAGGTCATCATGTTGTCAAAAAAAATTAATTTCATGTATACATAAAAATGCAACTTTGTTCCTTCTTAGTCATCATTGCTATACAGACATTTATACTTCCTCTTATTTATACTTATTTCCTCCCAAATTATTCAATAGTAAATCCTAACAGTCCCAACTATTACCTTTATTTCCTGAGTACCTACCATGTTTAAAGCCCAGTGCTATAGCATACAAGAAATTATACCTGCCATAAGGCCTTAGCAAAAAGCTGAAGAGTTGCCCTGAGATTGATAGATGGCTCTACTTAAAAAAGTAGTTGTCTTCACCCACGTTCCCAAGCCTTAACATTATTTAATGCTGAGAGATGTTGTCAAATGTGAAATGTCCTTCATATAAGTTGACAGTTGGCCCACAGGTAAAAATAAAACTTTTATTAAGAAAGAAACTAAGATTAATATGTAACTTACAAGTGATAACTGATAACAAATCCTCTCAATACCAATTTCTCTGAATACCATTTATTTACTGAAAATGTCTAAGATTTCACCTTTACATTTAAAAAACAAATTTTAGCTCCCATTATCACCTTAAAATTTGTTCTAGGTCAAAATTCATGTGTTAAAATGATATATAATTTCACTACAAGTTGCATTTGTACATTAATAGTTTGCTATAAGACCTGCAATATAATTATCATGGGATATTTATAAAAATACTCAGTAGAATACTGCTTAAAAGGTCTTAAAAATTTAGAAAGACTTACCTCGTCACAGTCTCCTTCAACCATGGCATATATAGCTTTCTTAACCAAGTTAGTACCTAGAATATAGATCTGAGTATTAATGAAGGAAAAATGTAATTAGTTTCTTAAAGACACCTAAGTTATAACATCATAATAAGCATATATATGTCAAATGCTGAGTTCTACCTGGAATCCAGATACATAGATTATCTTAAATTGAGAAAAATTTTAGATTTAAAATGGGAGGCAAATAGAATCTACATATAGCAATGTAAGTTTCCTCTTAAAAGACTTAAGCAAGTCTTTATACCTATATTCCTTTTTCTCAGGTGTAAACACTCCAAGCAGGAATTTCTGCTATTCTGTTTGAAGGGGAAAAAAGAAAAAAAGGCAAGATATAATATGGCCAAGCAACCCAGGAACTTCTTGAGCTGAACTCACTGCCTATGACCCATGAACCAATCTTGCCAAAGATCACACTAGAACTGCTGTGACCCTAAGTAAGCCCAAGACACTGGGTTGGTTCCTGCAAACCTTATAGTGAGCATGGGGCACACTTAAGTATGGTATTCCCAAACTAAAGGCCTGGTGCAAAAATTTGTGCATGGGTGGGGTCCCTAGACTTGGCTGACCATCACGGAAGGAACAGACGCTAGGCGCCAACATAGGAGCCTCGCCACCACAGTTCCCTGCCTCTTCCACTCAGTCCCACGTTGCCACGGTGGGTGCATGGCAGACCAATTGGGGCCTGCTGGTAGGGTGGAGGGATCATGAGAGGGAGGTTGGCCAGCCTCGGGAGGTTGACTGTGGGAGTGCACTGACCACCAGGGGACAGCTCCTACGTTGAGCATCTGCCCCCAATGGTCAGTGTGCATCATAGTGACTGGTCAACTGATTATTCCATCTTGTAGGTCGCTTAGGCTTTTATATACACTGAGTGGCCAATTATGATCTCTGAACGCCACATAATAATCTGGCCACTCAGTGTTGTGAGTGTGTGTATATATGCATGGGTGGGGTCCAGCCAGTCTGGCCAGGGAGCAGGGACATGGGCAGTTGGCCTGCCTGCCTGCTGGTCGAACTCCTGGCCGAGGGGACAATTTGCATATTGGCCTTTTATTATTGTAGGATATACACTGAGTGGCCAGATTATTATGCATTCAGAGATCATAATAATCTGCCATTCAGTGTATTCAGATGATGTCAGTGGTGTGTCTACAATTGTCTAGCAAAATATATCCTAGGTTAGGGTTAGATATATTTGGGACATTAAAGCGAAAACATCTGCCAAATGTGAATTTTAAGAAGAAATCCAAATTTTGTAAGAAATCTCACAATTCTCAAAACATGAGCAAACACATTATTTGGGCCAAATAAAATGCCTGAGGGCTAAGTCACCATTTTTGCCTTCCAAAACAGCGAGACAATTGCCTATCATTTTCCTTATCAGCTCTTTTTAATGCATCAAAGACTCAAACCTGGCTTATATTATAAGTCTGATTCATTAAAAATCTTGGTGGTAAACTATTAACACTGGAAGTTGGTTAAACTTAATGTATTAAGTGAACCTATTCTTAATGATTTCCCAGGATAAATAAGACTGTCTTAAACTGAACAATGATACTAACAGTTGAGAAAAAACTACAAGTGATAAAACCATTGTTAATTAAATATTGGTATAGTTATCAAATATTCTTTCTGAATACTAACTTAGCTTCAGTACATCCCAGAATTTGACTTGCTCAGACAAGTACCGTATTTTTCGGACCATAAGACGCACCGGACCATATGACGCACCAGTTTTTAGAGAAGGGAAATGAAGAAAAAAAGATTCTGAAACAAATAGTGTCCTAAAATATTTTATGTGCATTAAAACCCAACATCACAGTCATAAACACATGTAATCAACCCTGTAAAGTAAACAGCAGCATTTAGAACCATTTTAGAGCCGGGCAAGCACACAGAGACCATACAGAGCCGGGCAAGTAAAAAAAGTTTTTTTTTTTAAAGTATATGTGTAGGCTATATTTGGACCATAAGACGCAGGGACTTTTTCCCCCCACTTCTGGGGGGGGAAAAGTGCGTCTTATGGTCCGAAAAATACGGTACTTGTCAATCTCTTCTTACATCTTAAACAAAGAGCCAGTAGGTCCTAAACATTAGGACAGGCTTACAGCATAGTCACCAGGAAGCTTCAGCTTTCCTTCCATCAAGACAAACAAGATTAGGAGCCTATATATTTGTTTTTTAATCACCCAGATGACTCTAATGACCATTGTTAAGATTAACTGAAAAATGCCCAAAAAGGTAGACCTAAGAAAGAGATGATTAAGAATGGTAAGAATTCCTTTTCCTGGTCTTCTTTGAATTGTTAATACAATTACTAGTACTAAATAATGGTAACAATTTCCCTATTATTTTGCCTTGATTGAGGTCCACTTCACCCAAGCACAGACAGCTTAGGCTATGATTAAGTACCCTAAGAATGCTATCAAAACTGCAGCACTTGGTATAATGCAAAGCATTCTGAACATAATAAAGAAATGTTTGGAGGTAAAAAATGGTCACCTGCTACTTATTAAAAAGGTAACATTTTGGTTTTGGTTCTCTGGCCAGTGTGGTTCAATTGGTTTGGGGCCGTCCCTTGCACTGAAAGGTTGCCAACTTGATTCCCCTGCGTGCTTTGGACTTGTTGGGGGGGGGGGGGGCGCCGCGCCGCGGGATTTGAAGGAGGCAGCTCTCACTTCAATGGTTCTCCCTCTCTCTTGAAAAAACAGATTTTGGAAATATTTTTAGGGAAAAAACAATCTTCATTTTCTTTCCTTAGTATCATGCTCATTTCTACATATTTACATTTAAGTCTTCTGCTTCAAAATAGAAAAAATAACTCATGCATTCTTTTAATGACATAACATTTTCCTTACCAATGCCATTTCTCCTGTATTTGGAATCCACGGCTAACATGGCTATATAACCTCTGCGGAACATCTTTTTGTGCATGTCCAACTTGCAAACGATGGCACCTACACACTCCTCCCCTACCATGGCCTTAAAAATAAACAAACAATTATGAAGAACATAATGCCAGCAGGTACTGTACCCAGGGAAACAGCAACCAACCATTGATTAGCATTTTTGAAGGAGATGAGAATTCTAGCAAGAGAGCAGAAGTTTCAGAAATCTAAATCCCAAAGCTCCTTCAAATGTTCTAGTTTTAATATCTTTTAATATTCTTTACAACATGAATTTCTTATGTGAATTATCAAAGCATAAGGGGGGAAAGCAAAATTCTATAAGTAAACATTCAAGTGCTTTATAAAAGGTCTCTAATTATAATTAGCTTTATAAGAGAGTTGTAATGATATTATTCACAATAAATACATATTTAAGATTTGGGAAGGGGAATATGTGAAAATAGCTTTTTAAAGAAAAAAAGTCTTCATTAAGATATGAAAAACATTGTGAAACTTGCTGATTGGCAAAGTACAATAACTTAAAATTTATAATAAAGCTTTTATGAAAGATGACATGATTTAAACTTGAACAGTTCATTTTGATCAGTTAAAAAAATAAAATATTTTCAGAAAAAGGATTGTTTTAAGATATTCCTTGGATCCTAACTAAGGGGTTATTGTTATTGAGATACTACAAAGAGTAGGTGGATATACAATGGTGTCATTTTTAGGATACTCTTGACAGTGAAGTCATTATCATAAAGCTCATAGTATATCTAGAACTCAAAATCAGAGCTTTCTATTTAAACAAAAATGTACAGCTTTCCAGAGTAATTAAGATTTCCATATATTTTTGAAAACTAAAAATATGGTTTTCAAAAATTCCATCACTGATAAAATTTTCTAGTAATACTATTTATACTCTGGTTAATATAAATAAGGCAGTAGCTCCAATTGTTTAATAATGTATAAGCCAGAAATACTTATTTGCTGTTAAAAGCCCTCATTAGAAAAAAATGAAAAAATTATTATTATCTCTTAATATTAACTTTTCAGAAGAAACTATTTCAAAAACAAATAATAAAGCCCAATTAATATTTAACTAGAGGCCTGGTGCATGACATTAGTGCACTGGGGTAGGTGGGGTCCCCTCAGCCCAGCAGGCACCCTTCAGCAGTCCAGGCACCCTCAGGGGGTGTCTGACTGATGACTTGGGCCTAGGCCGCAGTCAGACATCCTCAGCGTTGCTGCGGAGGTGGGAGAGGTTCCTACCTCAGCCCTGCTTGTGGCTGAGAGGCCCTCCCCCTGTGGGAGAGCACTGACCACCAGGGGGCAGCTCCTGCATTGACAGTCTGCCGCTTGTTAATAAGTGTGCATCATAGTAATTGCACTGTTTGGATTACCCTTTTGTTATATAGGATACCTATTTTAATTTAAATCTGTGAAGATTGTTTCAGTCCATCATTCTATAATTTGATTACAAAACCCCTTTTAAAAAAAAAAACTGTGGAGAAATCTTTTAGGCATGAAAATTCTAATCTATTTCATGCAAATCTAAATTAAGTCAGAAAAATCCTTTTAAAGGAATATTAAATTCAACAATCCACACTAATTAATTAAATTTTATCACATAACCCAAAGATATTTGAGGCCATTTTCATTCATGATAAATCTGATTTTTTCAAAATCTTTTGAAAACCTAAAATTTGCGCAAAAATTGCTTGGTTGAACTTTTTCATGTGAAAACACCTCAAATATATATGTGTGATTGTGGTGCACATGTGTACATATTATAGATCCAATTGTACATTAAAAACAATTTGGGGCTTGATCTCATTAGCTAGAGAAAAGGGAAATCTATGGAAATCTCTGATATGTAGAATAACTACTTTTAACAGTGAATAAACCATCCAAAAGAGGACATTTTAAAACCACTACATATAATACAGCTGGACAATACATTCAAATTATATAGAAATTTCAAACAAATCATCTTTGACCATTGACAAGGAAGTAACAAGCAAAGTATATTAGTTCCCTCTTGACTATAGATTGATTTCTTCCTAATTAAGAATATACAGGAGCAAGAATGAAATTGTACATATCATTTAAAAACAAAAGCCCAATATATAATGCATTATTATTAACAAGATGTTGGTAGTGAGGAAGGCCAATGCTATTTTTTCCTGATAAATTGCTGATGAATATACACTTACAAGAATTACTAAACTACTTGTTACATTTTTTCCAAATAAAAGCTTCTGCTATTAAATGTGTTCTTTTTTCAGATGGGAACTGAAAAATTCCTGACAAGACTTAACTCTAAAGACCAAATGCTTATCAATCTATGATATAGATATAAAGTATAAATTGTGTGAAACAGAGAGTCCCAAATTCCAATAGGAAAGAAGCGTTGTTTCCAGAGGAAGCAAGAGTTAAATTTAGAACAAATAAATGAAAGTACTATACATCACTGGTAATAAGTTTAAAAGTTAAAAAACATACCAACTGCATTTCAAATACCATGAATTGCAATGAAAAATTAGTTAAGTACAGAGTGACAGTGCCTCCCAGTTGCACAGTGCTCTACTTTCACATGTTACAACTATTAGAAAGAATCAGAAGAAACTATCATTTGGCTCTGGCCGAGAGGTTCAGTTAGTTGGAGCATCATCCTTAAACCAAAAGGTTGTGGGTTTGATTCCCAGTCAGTGCAAATATCTAGCTTCGGGTTCAATCCCCAGTCAGGGCTCATGTAGGAGGCAACCAGATGTTTCTCTCTTCCTCCCCTTCTCTCTAAAAATCAATAAAAATATATCCTTCAGTAAGAATTTAAAAAAGCAACAACCCTTTTAATTCCGTTAGTCAAATATGGTCAAGAACTGGCAATTTTCTATGTTTAATTAATTACAGGATACTCATGGAAACCAGGAATATTTTGGAGGTTTCTAATCACAACTGGCAAATTGGGAGGAGTCTATATACAGATTGACATCTGTAAGAACATCTGTCCCTTAAGAAGTGTAACTTTATGACACAACGATCTTCACTGAACAGACCAAGGGTATGTCATTTTTCAGGTTCTTGTTTCCATGTGGCCAGGATACCCGAGTTCTAGCTTTACCTTCCTGCCACTGAATATCTAGAGATTTAAACATTTTCAAGACACTCTGGTCCATAATTTTTTTCATTAATAAAATAAATCTGAACTAGATTATCTCTAGGGTCCTTTACAGTTCTAAAATGATATGATTTAAAATAAACATACACACCCGAAATCGGTTTGGCTCAGTGAATAGAGTGTCAGCCTGTGCACTGAAAGGTCCCAGGTTTGATTCCGGTCAAGGGCATGTACCTTGGTTTTGGGCACATCCCCAGTACGGGATGTGCAAGAGGTAGCTGATTTTCTCTCATCGATGTTTCTAACTCTCTATCCCTCTCTCTTCCTCTCTATAAAAAAAATCAATAAAATATATATTTTTAAATTATAAAATAAACATACACATTATATTTGTTTTAAATTAGTTCTTATGGGAAATTCAAAAATTTTAAATGCCAATAAAAAGGCCTGAGGCTACCTAGCCTCTAATTGTTCAGCTGTCGTTTTATGTTCCACACCACCAGATTCATAATTGCACTAATAAATCTTATAGGTCAACCAGTCTTTCATATTTCTTAACTATTCAGAACTTAATATTAAACAAATTGACTCTTAAGGGCTAAAGCACAAATTAACTGGCAAATTGGGAGGAGTCTATATAAAATCAAAACTAAAGTTTACTAATATTAAGTTTATCAGAGTCTAAAATGGCAGACGATTTGAGAGATGTAGGTAATATGAGAACTCAAAAGTTGACTAAATATCATATAGTGATGGGCAAAAGGTTTACAGTTGTTCGTATGGAAAAATAATTATTAATAAATAATATAAAAATAAACTGTTTCATGTACCCACAACTGTAAACCTACTTTTACCAACCCCTGTATATACAACTATTTTCTGAAATTAACAGAAATATACTATTTCAATTTAAAGTGTACCTCAATTGTACGCTTCTGTGGGTCAATTTACAGTTAAATCAATCTATAATATTTAGCAATTACAATGGAATTTCATATGACATTTATAACACTGCCCAAAAAATCATTTTCTCATTTTTGGATACAATGGTTAGACTTCTAAGAGGAGTTTCATAGACTATAAAATAGTTCCCACAATTTAAAAAAATAAATACTAAACTCAAGTTTAGCAAAGTGAACAGAGAAAACAGCATAACAACCATTATTTACAATACTGAAGATATATTTTTAGATTATCACTAAGCTACAGCATCAAAAAAATGTATTTCTGAAGTACTGTTAAACGTCTTGCAGGAAATTATGAAGTGCAACTAAATCAATGCTGAAACGATAAATACCGTAATAGTAGTAGCTTTTCCCTTTACATATCATAACATACTCCTTAAAAGCATGTTGTATTTCAGTAAAAATTCAATGGAAACAACGTTATTTGTGGGTATGAGACAAAGCACATACCTGCAGTTTAATATAAGTGAAAGGTTTCAAAAGAAGTGAAACTGGTTAATATAACTGGAAAGAAATTATTTGAGCCACGAGTACTATGTAAAGTTTTTAAAAAATTTGTAGCCCTTTTTTTGCTTACATATAAATAAGAATTTTGTCAATTATACTTCATACACACCAGTATTACTACGAGCATTTAGGCCTATCTATGACCAGTTTCTTAAAAAAGAAAAAAAATTAAGTTAGTAAAAAGTTCACACTTTAAGTTTCCTACATCTTACAAAAGGGAATTTTGTTTAAGTTTCAGGAGTTTTTCAGCCACAAGAAGTGTGAGTAGCACCATCTGCAATCAAATACCAGAAGGCAGTCTGGCTACAACTGTTAATTGTCCTGTTGAAGTAAAGGAAACGATCTCCATAATTACAGAATATGCTAGCGAGATTTAATTCTCCAATGTTGGCCACAGCAAGTTTACTGACAAATCACGATCTCCAAAACATGTTTATGCACACACTCTTTCCCTGATTAGAGCTGTAATTGAGAGATTAATAAGGTCTGCATCCGAACAGAATCATGTTCAAATTAAATGACTGCAAAGTACTCTGAGGATGAGGGAGAGGGTAATTAAAGAGGTTAAACATTATTAGAAGCTAATGCAAACAGGATATAAGACCCCCAACACGCAACGGCGCATAGGCTGGTTGCTTCTACATCGGCATCAAGTTAACCCGCATCACGAATTCTTCTTACCTTCAAAAGTTTCACCAAATACCTAGGAGGACACGCACTGTACAATCACGTAGCAGCGGCACACCATGAAAGGCAGGCTAGATCCACTGCCACTCTCTCCCTCACACTCCCTGCCCGGCACGGCCTGGACCTCTCTGCTGCCGGGTTCACCCTCCATTCATTCCATCCACTTACCAAGAAACACAGCTGTGGCCAGTTGTGGATAAAATATCTATAGGTATAAATGGAGTAGGGTTCAGACAGATCTTTGGTGATCAGTCTCATGATATCGGGCATTTGTAGCTCGGATTCATATCGGACGTAACGTATCGTCCGGTCCTCCTCGGGCTCAGGAGCCTCCCTGCTGGAGGAGGGGCTCCTCAAGCTGCAGCCGGCGGTCAGGGATGAAGACAGCAGCCGCACCTGCTCGTCCTGCTCGTCCTCCTCCTCCTCCAGCTGCTGCCGCCCGGTGCCCTCCGCCAGTCCATTGCGGGCCGCCGCGGGGTCGCTCGCCGCCGCCGGCTCCGCGGGGCTGGGGAGCGCAGTTCTCGCATGGCCGGGGAGGCAGCGAGGGGGGCTCTCGCCCGAGCGCACCCCGGCTCCTTTTGTTGCAGTCGCTCTGGGGCCCCCGTCGGGGGTGGCCGTGGCCGTGGCCGCCTCGGTCGCGCTGAAAACCTTGCTCTTGAGCGAGGCGGCCGCCCGGAGGTGCCGCAGTTCGGGGCTGATCAATCCGTTGAGCTGCTGTTGCTGCTCCTGCGGCGGCTGAGGGCACCGGAGGCACGGATGCCCCTTGGCCGCCGCCGCCGTCGCCTCGCCGCCCGCCCGACTCCTGCCGCCGCCGCCGCCGCCGCAGCCTTCGTGCTCCTCGTCGTCCTCCTCGTCGTCGCTGCAGCAGGCGAGGGCGGCCCCCGCCGGGAAGGGACAGCGGGGCTCCGCCGCCGCCGAGGCCGGAGGTGCCGGGGGTGGGAGGAGGCTGCTAGGCCCAGGCGGTACCTCCGCCATCCTAGAGGCAACACACACCGAGAGGGGAGGCCATGAGACCCGGCCGGCGAGCGCCGAGCGAAGGGGGCGGCGGCGGGCAGGGGGCGGCGGAGGTGGGGGGAACAAAGGCAGAACCGTCCCTCACCGAGGTGCCCCCCAATTTCGCGGCGGCGTGTCTTTCCCCCCCTCCCCGCCGCCCGCTCCTGCTCTTCAGCGCCGCCCAGCTGCTCAGCCGGCCACCGTCCCCGTCCGCCGGGCCCATCCGCCGGCCCTGTCACCGCCGCCCCTCCCGGCCCCTCCGCGAGGCTCACCCGGCACGGGTCCCCGCCGCCAGCGCCGCCACTCCTCTTTCTCCTCAGCCGCCGCCGCCGCCTTCGCCGCCGCGGCCACCTCCGCCGCCCAGGCTCCCCGCTCCGCCGCCGCCGCCGCCGCCGCCGTAAAGCGCCCCGGCTGTTACCCCGGGTAAAGTTTCCTGGGCCGGGCTTTACGACACTTCCCTGCCTGCCGGCTGCCGGGGCCACGGGAAAGGGGCGTGGCGGGAGGTGACCTGCGGCGGGGCGGGGCCGGAGGTGCGGGCGGTGGGTTTCGGGGGCGGCGCGTGCCGGGGGGCGGGGCTTCGGGGCGGGAAGTGGCCGCGGGCTTGGAAGTGAGTTGCTCCGGTCCCGCCCTCTCGGCCTTCCGGGCTCCTCGCCCCGCAGTTTGCAGGGCGGACCGGGGAAGGGTGGGACGGACTGACGCTCCCGGTTCCAGGCCCGCCGCCCCCTCGGAGCTGCCGCAAAGCCCGCCCGACCGTATACCAGACCCGTAAATAGGCTTTTCCTCAGCCGTGTCTTATTTAACGTTTGTCCCACGTGGTGGCGGGGGGGAATGGAGTGGAGGTTACCCAAGATCCTAAAAATGGAACGAGTCAGGGGAGAAAATCGAAAAGGAGGGAGAGTTAAAATGCGAATTAAGTTTAGTCTTTGCCCCTTTAAGGCAAGAGAAGGTGGGCAGGCAGTCTTCTCTAGGAGGATATCCCCCTTCGCCCCGTCCTGGAAAATTGGAGGTGCACGTGATGTGCATATGCTGGGCTGCAGCCAGCACGCCTGCGGAAGATTGGGGTGAAAGAGGGTGACTAAAAGAGCACATTACAATTCAGAATACAGAGCATGTGTCATAGAAATCCACACTTGAAACCTACCCTTGGTTAATAATAATATACTCTTATTAACCAATGTCACCCCAATGTATTTCATATTTTAAAAAATCAAAAAAGAACTAAAGAAGTCAATCGGATGGGGATTTTAAAAAGAAAAAAGAATACACTCTTAAACCTGTGACACGAGTTGTAATAGGGCCGGGAGCACCGAGGCCTTCCTCCTCCCACCCTCCCCCAAAGGTCTGCCTGAGTGCAGCAAGGAAAGAACTGCAGCGCCCTCGTTCTTCCCGCTCTCGGTTCTAATAGGAAGGCAGGTAGGGTAACTCACCAGCACATGGAACAAATCAACTTTTTAAACAAGTGATTTGTAGAACTGGTCAGGTGTGCAGCAGATGGACGTTTGCAGGGATATAATTCTATGACTGGTTATGTTTGCACGTGTTTGCCATAATCTAAGCTATAAAAAGCGGTATGCACTGAGCATAGCTGCTGTTAGATACAACTGTGAAGGTTCTTGTCACCAAAGGAAAAATTATCACTTTACATATAAAAGTTCAGCTTATACTGATTCAAAAAGTGATAAAAATTAGTTAGTATATTCCAGACACTATTTTAAGTATTGTACATGTACTTATTAATTCATTTATAGTTTTTATAAAAATGCTGACATTTGTGTACATATAGACTAGAAGCTTCTTTATTTCAGCCTTGTTTATAATAGGAAAAAATAATTCCAAGTCATCTAAGTATCTATTATACAGGAATAAATAAACTTATGAAATGTAAATACTATAGAATAATACTGTTTAGTGCCATTATTTAAAATATTGACATAGCCTGGCCTGCATGGCTCAGTGGTTGAGCATCGAACTATGAACCAGGAGGTCATGGTTCAAATCCAGGTCAGGACACATGCCTGGGTTGAAGGCTCAATACCCAGTGTGGGGCTTGCAAGAGGCAGCCAATCAATGATTCCCTCTCATCATTGATGTTTCTATCTCTCCCTCTCCCTTCCTCTCTGAAATAAATAAAAATCTTTTTTAAAAAAAATAAAACACTGACAAAGATATATAGGTCCTTTTCCAGTTACTCTGGCTACGTTGCAAATTGCCCCCCCCCCTCCCTCCCTCAACGTAGAGGTATAAAACAACCATTTATTATGCTCACAGATTCTGTGGGTAGGAATTTAGACAGTACAGCAGGGATGACCTTTCTTTGCTCCATTTTGCATAGGGCCTCAGCTGGAATATTTGAAGGTTGTGAAGGGGAATCATCTGAAAACTTTTCACTCTCATGTTGATGGTAGCTGCAGGCTGGAGACTGCAGGCTGGAGACCTCAGTTCTATTTCATGTAGAGCTTTTCATGTTATGGCAGTATGGACTGGTTTGAGCTTCCTCACAGCATAATGGCTGGGTTCTAAGGTTAAGAGACTGAGAGAGACACACACGGGGGGAGGGAGGGGGAAGAGAGCAAGAAGAAGGAGAAGGAGAAGAGGAATTCCTTTTTATGACCTAGCCTTAGAAGTCTTACAGTCTCAATTTGATTTTGCTGCATTCTGTGTATCCATGACATTACAAAGTCTCATTCAGGTTTAAGAGGTGGGGAAATAAACCCTACTTATTGATGGGCAGAGGCAAGGTTCTTAACATGTGAGACCAGAAATATTGCTGTGGCTATTTTGGAAAATACAAGTTTCCCTTAGGTACTTACATTGAAAGACCTCCTAAACACCTTAAGAGGGTAAAATAAATGAGATGCATAAATGTGATAATATTCATGGTTTTTTAAAAATACAAACCCATATTTCAAATGTTCTAAATTGCTTAAAGTTACATTTTTTTTTTAAACTGAGGCAGGATGGTAAGAAACCAGGGAAATTACTTGACAGGTGGTATAGGGAAAACTGAGACAAAATCATTTTAAAAGGCCAAACAATTTGAGCAATTCACAGCCAGCCAATGAATCACAAGTGTTTATCTTCCCTAACCAAGGACATTTAAGAAAAAATTGTTTACACATTCCAGACCCACCCAGGGCAGACTGGCTTCAGAACCCCATCTCTCTTCAATTGCATTCTTTAAAAATAAAGCTAACCAGAAAATGACCCTGACCCTTCTATACAGGCATTTTGAATCAGCATATTGAAGGACACACTGGAAAGCTAATGAATATTCTGTTAAGACACTCCTCTGAGACCTCCCCTGGGATTCCCACTGGCTTCAGAAAAATAAAAAACCTCCAAACAAAGAACACACAGCATCTCTGCTCTGTCATAAGCAATAAGCATCCACTCCGGATTTGCAACCAGGGGAGCAGCAAGCAGCAGCAGCTCGTCTGAGCTTACCTGCTGAACCTGTCTCCAAGACCCCCTTTTCCGACTCTCTGTGAGCTAAAGGCAGCCCTGCACAGGCTCTCTCCTGTTGCTCCTTCTACCTTAAGCCATTCCTTTGTTTCACTGTTGCCAGCTTACATATCACTTGGGCTCATATTGTGAAATCTTTCCTGCATGACGTCAAGAACCCCCGGCTGACCTGAGGCAGACTGGCTGCGGGCCTGGTACCCGTCCTGTAAAAAAAAAAATGATATGGTTTCTAACTGTAACCTGGGTGTTCAGGCGAAGAACCAATCTGTTCAAGTCATGCAGGAAAAACTGACAAGATGGCCACCACACAATTCCTTAAGACAAGCTTAAGGGTAAGTTTTACTTAGAGAAATGTCTATCGCTTGCTAATTGTGGAATATAACCTTCCTGAAAGGAAGATGTGACTCCATTGTAATGAATGACTGGTGCCAAGGCTGCATGTTCTTTCCATAGTGTAGCTTGGCATTGAGCTTTCTTTTTTTTTTTTTTCTTTTTTTCTTTTTTTAAAATATATTTTATTGATATTTTACAGAGAGGAAGGGAGAGAGATAGAGAGCCAGAAACGTCAATGAGAGAGAAACATCGACCAGCTGCCTCCTGCACACCCCCTACCGGGGATGTGCCCCCAATCAATGTACATGCCCTTGACCGGAATCGAACCTGGGACCTTTCAGTCCGCAGACCGACACTCTACCGCTGAGCCAAACTGGTTTCGGCAGCATTGAGCTTTCTCACACTGAGAGGCTGACCCAATGTCACAAAGTCATTTTCAGAAAGATGAGACTTACAAAGATCTTCCTGAGGTCAGGGACTGAGTCTTCACTTTGTATTCATATATTTAACATATAAAAGGGTACTTAAGTTTTTTTTGACTGAATTAGGCTAGTCTCTCATTCAGCAGTCCAGGATGTTTATAATTAAGCAAAGTAAATTATGGCCTCTTTACTAATGAATAAGCTAATAAGAGTTCTGATATCTAAGCTATGGTGACTCCACTTCATATCCCAGTATTAAAATCCCAATAATAATCTTCTAAGTCAGATGACATCGCTAAGAAATCTGTACTTACAATTAAGAGATTTTTTCTTTCTTGCTCAAGTTTATGAGTAATAGGCTGATATGATGGTCACATTATTTTAGAAATAGAAATGAGATTAGTTCACTCAGGATTTAGGCAGGGTGTCCCCCAAAAAATATATACACACTGATAGCTGATAATTACATAAATACTGGCTTTATAATTATTCAAAGTGTGTGTATACATTTTGAGGGGACACCATATATTTGTCTATTATGAGTCTAAAAAGACAACTCTCTATGAGCAATGACTTCATTAGAAATGGTCTCAGAGCAGGTGAAGTGTATCAGTGATATTCTTTTATCTAAATAATTGGTATTTTTTTACTATTTGTTCTCTTTTAAATAAAAAAATGACACACCTTCATTTTTTAAGAAAAAATGAAATCAATGAAACTAACAATTTCAAAAAACAAAATTCTAAAGCAACTTCCTGAAGTTAG